TGCCTACACATATCTATTCGTCACTACTCGGTTCCTTAAATTTGTAGCTACCGATCATTTGTTATCTCATGCTCTTCTGTAGCGTCGTTGCCGAGACATTTGCCAAAATGTAAAGTTGAAGCTCATTTTTAAATTGCTTTTTTCTGTGATTTTGTATTAAAAATTGTGGTTGTTTGAAACGTACGATTTTTTCATTTTTTGCATATAGGTTCCTTGAAGTGTGTTCTTTGGAAAAATGAAATTTAACGGGGGGGTTTGCCGAGCTTTTTTTTTTTGCAAATTTGCTTTTTATAGAGGAAAGTTTTTATAAAGTGTGTAGGCATACAGCTGGACTGACTGGTTTATATCAGCCTACCAATGAACTCTAATTTACGTTTTTTTTCTTTTTTTTAAAGGTTTTTCAGATTTTTATTAATTTATGTGACGGTTGCCCTGTCCTTATGACGGTTATATGTATCATATATTATATTTTACTATATATGGTAGTATATATCACATATATCTCAAAAATTTTTTAAGTTTTGCTGATTAGTACACTCTAGGGTAGTGTAGAAAAAGCCGAAAAAAACCTGGAAAAGTGAACTCACCGCTAAGTTACACAACCTCAAGGCTGCAAACTTCGCCAGGTTGCCAAGTGACATGCCTATTATTGCAGACTTGTAATTCAGGTCGTTTCAAACTGCCATGTCTTGAACTTTTAAATGCACACTTGTTTTTTGATTCTGTTGAAAAACAAAAAAAAAAGAGTAAAAAAACGCACAAAATATATCTTCTTTTAAAAACTTAAAAGTGTTTTTTTTTTTGTTTGTTTAAAAATTTTGCTTTCATTGTATTTATGTGATTTTTAAAAAGAATTAAAAAAAAAAAAATATGCATTTAAAAGTTTATGACATGGACATGGCAAATCTAATGGTCAAAGAAGTATTAAGTGTTCTATTTAAAACAAGCTAAACTACAAATTTGCAAAGACGGGCATGTCAAGTAATAACCTGGCAAAGTTTGCAACTTTTGGCATCTAACGGCCCATTATATATAATGTATTGTATGTTGTATTTTATATATTACATATAATATATAATATATTATATCTCATATAATATATTATATATTATGTATAATAATGTATAATATGTAAT